TTTGAAACTTCAGCCTGTTAATTTGTGCTATGAGAGAGCAAGCCAGAAGAAAAGGGAAGAAATTGCCTGTTAATTTGAAGAGTATTGCCAGCTGCATCTTCTCAGTCAGTGAGAGAAGCAATTTCCAAAGTTATAAAACATCTCCTGGTACCTAGCTAATTAGTGAGGAATACAGTACTTTCATTTGAGAAAAGGAAGAGAGAAGGAATGAAGTTGCTTTAACAAAATTTACCTTCTGGAAGATTCAAGGCAGTTTGGGCCTTGATTTGTGGAACAGACTGGAAAGGTGCATGATAGGTATAAAAATGGTATGAGGAATTTGCTTAGTGTAGCCTAGTTTACCTAAGAATGCTATGCTTGCCTGCTCTTTTGCTAATTGATTTACACTCTGGGCCTATGCTGAAGTTCTGTTCCTACGTAAGTAGTTTAAGATAGTTTTCTTATGTTTTATGAGGATTGTTCCGGAATTGCCCTAGCCTTAATTCTTTTGAATGTTCATTTGCTTCACATACTTGATTGCCTTTAAACTTTTTGGTACTGCTTGGGAGTTTGGTTTTTTAGCAACATTTACAATAAAATAATAAGCAACTTACAGTAGTTTGGTTATTCTGGGAGAAGGTTTGATACTAAATAAAGGCCTTGTCTCGTGCCCTACTGCATCGTTTTAGATGTTGTGGGTGTTTCGGTATTCCTATCTGGAAGGGATGGCATGCAGTCTTGCAAATTTTGGTAACTCCTTGGAGCACTGATTAGCAAGGGTAATTTTTGGGAGAGAGCACTGGCCAGGAAGATTTCACCCTGAAACTTAGCCACATTAAAGGCTGGGTACTGTGGTTCAGTGGTTTGTGAGAACCTCTCTGTCCTGACCATAAACTTTACATAGATAAATACATTGTTGTGTAAATAAATTGAATATTTTAGCCAAGTAAAATAATTTTAAATTTTTGACCATATAACCTGAGTATTTGTTGCATTAACACAACAATCTCAAGGAAAACAAAGTGTGGTAACTCTGAAAATATTTGACTGAAACATTTCCCCCTCTTTCCTAAAAGACAGAGTGAATAAAAAAGTAGTAATTTAAAAATACTTAAAATGAATGAAAACTATTTAAAGCTAAACTGAGAAAGCAATTATTTGCAAAAATGTGTTTTACTGGCTGAAATTGTGTTGCTTAGTATAGTAAGTTACATATGAGCAAATCCACTGAATCAGTGGGAACTTTGTGAGTCAACTCCTCGATTAAGTTCCAGACTCAAATGAACCTATTCTAGCTCTGGCTTACTTTAGCGCAGTCACATCTACAGTTGAATAAACCGAATTTACAGAGGAGTTGACTCATCAAATCCCCCCTAAAACGGGTTAGTTTGGTGTGACTTACTTATGCTTAATCTCAAAATTCACATTTTCTCTCCAAGGTTTTTAAATATTAGAGAAACAGATTGTGTACATCTTTCTCTCTCATGAGTTGTGAAAGTAATATGTGCAGATTTTGATATTTGTATTGACTTTAAATTTAGTTTTAAACCAGTTCAATTTCATACAAATTCTGAAAGTTAAAAAAAAACAAAATCAAATATAATTTAAAGTCACTATGTTAGGAACCCAGTATTGCTTTTGGAAGATGGTACATTAGAATATCCTGCCAAACTAGCAGTTCGAAAGCATGTAAAAATGCGAGTATATAAATGGGTACCATCTTGGTGGGATGGTAATGACGTTTTGTGTCTAATTACACTTGCCACGTGACCACAGAAACTGTCTTCGGACAAACACTGGCTCTATGGCTTGGAAATGGGGATGAGCACCGTGCCCTAGAGCCGGACACAACTGAACTAAATGTCAAGGGGAACCTTTACCTTACATTAGAATAAAATGTAAAGTATAATGCAGTTGAACTATTTAAAATCTTGAAAGATGATGCTGTTAAGGTGCTACATTCAATATGCCAGCAAGTTTTGAAAACCCAACAGTGGCCAGAGGATTGGAAAAGATCAGTCTACATCCCAATCCCAAAGAAAGGCAGTGCCAAAGAATGCTCCAACTACCGCACAATTGCACTCATTTCACACGCTAGCAAGGTTATGCTCAAAATCCTCCAAGGTAGGCTTCAGCAGTATGTGGACCGAGAACTCCCAGAAGTACAAGCTGGATTCCGAAGAGGCAGAGGAACTCGAGACCAAATTGCTAACTTGCGCTGGATTATGGAGAAAGCCAGAGAGTTCCAGAAAAATATCTACTTCTGCTTCATTGACTATGCGAAAGCCTTTGACTGTGTGAACCACAGCAAACTATGGCAAGTTCTTAAAGAAATGGGAGTGCCTGACCACTTTATCTGTCTCCTGAGAAACCTATATGCGGGACAGGAAGCAACAGTTAGAACTGGTCATGGAACAACTGAGTGGTTCAAAATGGGGAAAGGAGTACGGCAAGGCTGTATACTGTCCCCCAGCTTATTTAACTTATATGCAGAATACATCATGCGGAAGGCTGGACTGGAAGAAACCCAAGCCGGAATTAAGATTGCCGGAAGAAATATCAACAACCTCCGATATGCAGATGATACCACTCTGATGGCAGAAAGTGAGGAGGAATTAAAGAACCTTGTAATGAGAGTGAAAGAGGAGAGTGCAAAAAACGGTCTGAAACTCAACATCAAAAAAACTAAGATCATGGCCACTGGTCCCATCACCTCCTGGGAAATAGAAGGGGAAGATATGGAGGCAGTGTCAAATTTTATCTTCCTGGGCTCCATGATCACTGCAGATGGAGACAGCAGCCACGAAATTAAAAGACGCCTGCTTCTTGGGAGGAAAGCAATGACAAACCTTGACAGCATCTTAAAAAGCAGAGACATCACCTTGCCAACAAAAGTCCGAATAGTCAAAGCTATGGCTTTTCCTGTCGTGATGTATGGAAGTGAGAGCTGGACCATAAAGAAAGCAGACCGCCGAAGAATTGATACCTTTGAATTGTGGTGCTGGAGGAGACTCTTGAGAATCCCCTGGACTGCAAGGAGAACAAACCTATCCATTCTAAAGGAAATCAACCCTGAGTGCTCACTGGAAGGACAGATCCTGAAGCTGAGGCTCCAGTACTTTGGCCATCTAATGAGAAGAAAAGACTCCCTGGAAAAGACCCTGATGTTGGGAAAGTGTGATGGCAAGAGAAGGGGACGACCGAGGATGAGATGGCTGGACAGTGTCTGCGAAGCAACCAACATGAATTTGACACAACTCCGGGAGGCAGCAGAAGATAGGAGGGCCTGGCGTGCTCTGGTCCATGGGGTCACGAAGAGTCGGACACGACTAAACGAAACGATAATGCAGAATCTTATTAAAAATATTTGAATTTCATTAACTAGTGAATTTATTTTTACATTTGAACAAAGCCTTTAAGAGAAATCTAAAAAATGTGATTTCCAAATTCACGAGTAAATAAATGTATTTGGGTTTTTTAAAAATGGAAAATGGCCAGGCTGGGGTGAAAATAGAGAATTGGCAGTCTTTCATTTTAACCAGCCAAAAGAATGTAATTATACACACAAAATAGTAATGTTTTGGTCTGCTCTTTACCTTCATGTGGGAGCATTAAACCTTTGGGCCTCAATCAGAGAAATGCCTCAACTCTGATAATAAATGTTCACCAATCTTCGCTTTGCAAGGAAGGGCACTGGCCTAATAGCAACTCAAATAGCTTGGAAAACGGCTACACGTTAAATACACCAAGCCTTTAAAAATGAAGCTGCCTACATGAATGATCAATAAACGGATCTGTGCCTTCATAACAATAAATCATTACTGCGACTGTGTGTGAGCACATTCTCTGGGGGCATCGCTGTGTCAAGCTGTTGCCACGACCGACCAACCACCACCACGAAGTCTGCAGCACGTCTAAGACTAACAAGCGTTATTTGGCATAAACTTCCGTGGACTATCGCCCAACTTCTCAAGGGACGCCTGACCAAAGCGCGCCCGAGACGCCAAACGAAAACGGCTCCTCTTTTAAGGTGCCACAGGACTCTTCGTTGTGATGGAAATGACGCAGAAATGGTGTACAGTGCTGTAATTAAAACTAGCTAGTTGAAGTACTAGAAAAGGAAAAACTGTCCGGAAGTTTATTGCATGCGCCCCTTCTTTGAGACGCATCTTCGGCTGGAGCGAAGATTTATCCTTCCATCCTTTCGAATCCCACCGATTCCGGTCAGGTATCGCTTCCTCACAGACACGCGTGTGAGGGGATTTTGCGAGGCTTCCGGCAACAAGCCCAGCCACCTTCCCAAGAGCCCTTTGCTCGGGCACTACCCTCGCTGAATGGGCGGGCGCCGCCGCCTCCTTTTCCTCCGCCTCCGCCTCCGGGGTTGACCGCGCCTTCTCTGTGAGAAGGGCAACAGGCATCGAGCTGAGGGAAAAAGGCAAGACGCGACGAAAAAGGACGGGGAAGGAGCCAAGCTCGCGGCCGTTGTGACGTCACATCGCCTCGAAGAGTTCGGCGACTCCGCCTCAACAGCGACCGAACAAGCCGACCTTCCCTGGTCTACTCCGCCCCTTCCCACTACGCCCCCTTTTACTCCCTTCCCGGTCTCTGACCCCGCCCCCTTTCCCACCCAGTGCGGCGCGAGGTAGCGCGCACGCGACTTTCCGCGACGGGGTTTTGCCAGCCTCCCCACAGGCCCGCGCGAGCTGTTTCGCTCCCCTCACCGTTCCCGGCGGGTCTCTCTCGCCTCTTCCTTATCCCCTGGACCTTTCGAACTCTTCCTGGCTTCGCCTCCTTTCTCTCTCTCTCTCTTTCTCTCTCTTCCCCCCTCTTTCTTCCCCCCTCCTCAGGCGTCGCAACGGGGCGGTGGCGGTTGAAGCACTCGCTGTGGTGAATGAGTGGTGACGCCGACGCCCCCGGAGGCCGCTGTTCGGGCGGGGGGCGCGCTTCCCCGCCAGCTGCAGCCCCGGCGGGGCGGGCAAGGCCCCCGGGGGCACACAACTCCGCTTAGCGGCCCCAGAGTGGGGCGAGCAGCACAGCGGCGCGGCCCCCTCCCGGCATGTCCTCGGCGGCTGCCTCTCAGCCCTTACTTCGCGGTTCGGAGAAGAGTCGTGGCACAGCCCGGTTGCCTGAAGATTACCACCCGGAGCAGCCCTTGCCTCCTTCCGGCCGATTAACCGAAGCCTCCCAGGAGAGCGGCTCTGGGGAGGGGGCGCCGCAACACCAAGAGGACGACGACGACGAGGAGGAGGGCGGCGGCAGCAACAACAGTGCCGGTAACGACAACCAGGAGAAGTGTCAACGGGGATTGCAACCGCGGCCGCCTCCCCCTCACGTGGCGGAAGCCCCTTTGCCTAAGGAGAACCCCTGGACCCGCTGGAAGCCTCCCCCGGCCTCTGGGAGTAGCTTGTCCCCTTCCAGCGCTTCCGCCGGCAGCGAACTGGCACCGCAGGACTCGGGTGAGCAAGCGAAAGTTGTTGGGAACCCCTGGAGCGTCGCTTTGATCTCTTCGTAAAGGCCGCGGGGGTGGGGATGGGGTGGGGACGGCGTGTGGCTTCGGGTCTCCTGCGACGGCCTCTCAGGTTTCTCTCATGCGCCCTCACCCCCCCCTTTCCCCCCCCTGGGGGAAGCGGCGACCCCAAGCGACACGGGCTTGGAGCGAGAGAAAAAAGCATGAGCTTGCATCTCCGGCTAGGTGGTGCTGGCGTCCTCTCGTACGTTGTGGACACGCTCAGTTTAGGAAAATGAGCGTAAAGGGGTGTGACATGTCCTTGAAGTTGTTTTACGAGAAGGGTGTCGAGAACGGAGAAGGCTGACGGAGCTCAATTTTAGTTGGTGGTGGCGTTGTCTGGAGGCCGCCCAAGTTTTTATTTGTATGTAAAGGGGAACATGTTCTTGTGGACGGTAGACACCAAAGGCTCTTACAACTCTCACCCAAAGACAGAGGGAGGAAATACTTTTGCTCTCACCCTAAAGCTGTAGAAAAATTGGTTCTTTTCTATTTTTGCACGATTTGGATTTTTTGCCTATTTGGTTCATAGTCTTATGCTAGCCACCAATCTTTTGGGAATACTATTTCCATTTGCATGATTGTTCATAATTGTGCCTACGGGGAAGGGAAATAATATATAAAACAATTGTCTCTGGTGTTCATGTGTGAGCATTGTGACTGTAGATGCAGTGATCCTTTATGCATTAATAGTGCAGTTAAGTAAATTTCTGCAATCTGGTTTCCAGTTTTGGTAGTCTGTTAAATAAAACATTTCGTTGATACTCTGCCATTATGTACCATAAATTTAAAGACTGAAGCTTCTTTACACAAACATGATTTGTGTTGAAATAGTACGTTGGTATCTACAGTTTTGTTTCTGTGGAATTAACTATATTTTTATTGAATCAAGACTTAACTATTCATAGTTGATGTACACGGTACAAGAGAAAATACACTGATGGAAGCAAATTCATTAGCCTGTTGACTGGATTGGCTGATAAGGAGATGCACTCTGAAAGTAAAATGATTTCCCTTGATACAGATTAAATACATTCCTATCCATGTGATGTGATTATGTGACTGGTTTAAAAACTGTAAGGTACAGTGGTGCCCCGCAAGACGGGCGCTCCGTTTGATGACAAAATTGCATCACAATGAACTTTTTGCGATCGCAAAAGCGATCGCAAAACAATGTTCTCTATGTGGAAATTTCGCTTTGCGATGATCAGTTCCCTGCAAAGCGATGATTTTTTAACAGCTGTTTGGCGGTTTCAAAATGGCCGCCGGGTAAACAAAATGGCCGCCCACTGTGGTTTTGCACGGATTCCTTGCTGCACAGGCAGCGAAAATGGCTGCACTATGGAGGATCTTTGCTGGACTGTGAGTTTGAAGCCCCTAGGAATGCATTAATCTGGTTTTAATGCGTTTCTATGGGCTTTTTAAAATCACATCATAATATTTTCGTTCTACAGCAATTTCGCTGGAATGAATTAACGTCATGATGCGAGGCACCACTGTATACATAAACTATACATAACAAACAAAAGAAAAAAGTATGTTGTCACTTTTGACACTTAGATTTATTTCACAGTGAGCTTTTGTGGATTACTAAGCCACTTTCTCAGATAATGGAAAAACATTGTAGAGTCCTTATCACATGAATTGTATATAAAAATGACTTTTATATCCATAGTTTTCTTTTTAAAAATAGATACATTTAGATAATAAGCACTGTATTAATTGCTCATGCATTTCTTCATGGTGCTTTGTGTTCTTCCAAGTAACTTTAATGTATCACAGATCACAGTACAGTATGTCACCCAGTAACAGGGAACAATTAGGGAATGCATATGCCATAAGCTCTTTGAAAAGACAAAGTGTCTTGCATCAGTGACCTGGGATTTGTCTATGTTAAATTAAAATACTAAAGAACATTGAAGCATATATGTAAAGATGCCTTCAGTCGTGATCAGAAGGTTCATGAGGGTCTCAGACAGATGAGGATGCTGCCATTGCCTCCTGTGACAATCTATTTGTTCATGGCTCTGTTGCACATTGTGGGCAACAATACTCAAGTGACCTGTTACTAGAGGATCTTTGCTTTGGTGAAGCAGGAATAAATTCATTTGAATTCTTACAGATGCACTCTTTACTAATGTGTAGTTTTGCAGCTTAAATATTTGCACAAATCTAAGTTTTCCTTCAATAATTTGCATTTATATAAAATTGTCAGAGTAGTATTGTAAGGAAAAGGAAAAGGATAATAGACATAAATAAGATGTTAATGTTGAATTGAAATTTTGGATTTCTGTTCATGGAGATGTGTTTCTAGATCATATACATGTTTAATGTAGAAGTGTCATGAATTCACCTAGGTAGCAATTCAAAGTTTGGTTATATAAAAAGATTTATAGAAGTATGAGGTGCTGTGGCAAATGTTAGGGTTGTGTGAGGCCTCCCAGTTTTTTGAGGGAGTTAGAGATTAGTGTGTCTGTGGGCCTGTGAGCCAAAAAGTCAGTGAGAGAAGAGTCTGTGTGTCTCAGTGAGTGAGAGACCTTGATTAACAACTTGTGATTTACCCATTTTATTTTGTTATTCAAATAAACACGTTTTGGTTTTAAAACAACACTTGTCTTCTTAAATATTTCATACTATTGGTGGCAGCAATGGAGTAGGAAGAGTGAGCACCTCCTGGAGGCCTGAGACAATAGAGGCTTCAGCGGACTCGCTACATAAACTGATCAAAATGACTAGATAGGTGGGGTATAAATACAATCAATCAATAAATAAATACATTATGAGCCTTAATAGGTTATTTATATTTTGACTTGGTTTGGTTTGGCAAATTCAGAGCTAGTTTAGTTTGATTCAGGTTAAAATTGAAATTTAGGAGACTGAATTTTCTGTTGAACATTGATTTGTATTGGGAAGACAAAATTGTCATAACTTTTTGTTTTTTTTTTTCATATAAGTGCATGAAATTTAGACACATGGTAGTTCCCTTAGAGGAGATTAATCTGCCAAACTGCAGACAAATAGTTGTAGTTTTATAGTTTAAAAATAAACAGAACTTTTTTTGCTTTCTCACAAAAATATATGAAATTTATTATCATAGTAACTGCTCCAATGAACCATAACCTTGATAAATTGAAGACAGGTAGGCCCAGAGCTTTTTCTGCAACAACCTTTAAATTTTTTGTTGTATATGTATAGGAAAAGTCCATGATGGGGATGTATAATCTCCAGGCTTAAAAGGGAAGGTACAGTGGTGCCTCGCAAGACGAATATAATTCATTCTGTGAGTCGCACTGTCTTGCAAAATTTTCATCTTGCGAAAAGCGGTTTCCCATAGGAATGCATTGCAATGCATTCCTGTGGGAACCTTGCAAGATGAAAATGATTCATTTGTCTTGCGAGGCATCGGTCTTGCAGAAAACATTCGTCTTGCGAAGCACAGCCATAGAAGAAGCTGTCTTGTGATGTGACACAGCGATCGCAAAAATCATTCTTGCGGGTTTTTCGTCCCGCGAGGTGTTCGTCTTGAGAGGCACCACTGTACCTCCAAATGCCAGATGCAGGGGAGCGTTATCAGGAGACAGGTACCTAGGTGTTTTGTGTGCTTCCAGAAGCTTCCAGAAGCATCCAGATACAGGAAGCTGGACTAGATGGGCCCTTGGCCTGATCCAGCAGGGCTCTTCTCATGTTCTTATGAAGAATTTCAGCACCACTCTGCAACCATGGTGTTTGCCAGGAGTGGTCACTGACTTTACACAGCTATTACCCCTCTTAGCAGTTACTGCAGTACTCACAGATCACCAAACTATCTGATAATTGCTCCAAGTCCCTTTCTCTCTTTGCTTTGCATTACTTTGTCCTACGAATTGGAATAGTTTAGCCTAATTCTTTGTTTGCTGATTTATTTCTTTTCTGTACATTTGATAATGTAATTTATTCCCCTCCATCATCTCATTGGCCGTACCTCGCTTAGCGATTGCCTCGTTTAACGATGTGTTAACTGCATTTCGCTTAGCGATGTTTCCTATGGCGATTTTCACTTAAGTACGGCAATCCGTTCCCATTGGAATGGATTATCCGGTTTTCAATGCATCTCTATGGGAAAACGCGTTTCGCTTAGCGATGTTTTCCCATAGCGATGTTTTTTCCGGAACCAATTAAAATCGTTAAGCGAGGCACCACTGTATTTGTCATTAGTTGTCTGTTTTGCTTTCTGTGTGCTTTCTTCATTTTGTTACACAGAACACAAATAATCGATATTTTCTCAGGGTTCTAGAGCAGTGGCTTGAAATACTCAACTTTAAAATGTAAATTCGTTCCACAAAATGGGAATGCATTTCAGAACAAATCTCCTATTAGGTTACATGAGTTCTTGCTTGACCAAATACGACACATCTCTGAAACAGCCAGCTAGTGATATGCATCAATAGTGTACACAGTTCAAAACATGTTTCCATTCTAATTTTATACTATCATAAAGCAGACACAGATAACACACACAAACAATGATCTGTTTCATTGCATATGTTTTTAATTTCCTTTCACTTTTGCTGTATGAGAGTTGACAAGCTATAATCTAGCACAGAGGTCTCCAAACTATGGCCTGCAGGCCACATCCGGCCCGCAATGCGTTTTGTCCAGCCTGTTCCCTTCAGCCTGTGCGCGTGCACATGGGGGCGTGTGTACCGGGGGTGGGTGTTGCATGTGTGCATCTGCGTGCAGGGGGCAGGTGTGCATAGGCATGCACATACACATTCCTGTTCCTTCAGCTCTCTAAAACTTTGAAAGTATTTGGTATGGCCCTCACTGTAAACGTTTGGAGACCCCGATCTATCACATAAATATCTAAACAAGATAAAGCAAATTTTATGATGTAAATTTGATGTCTAACAAATGCTGTCATACACATTTGATAGCTTTTGTTTTATTGTTTAGATCTTTGTGTGCTAGATTATAGCTTAGTTGTCATGCAGCAAGGGTTAAAGGAAATTAAAAACATGCAGTGACACAGATCAGTAATGTTTGTGTGTGTTTTCTCTGTCTGCTTTATGACACTATATTAGAATGGAAACATGTTTTGAGCTGTGTACAGTATTGATGGATATCACTAGCTGGCTGTTTCAGATATGTGTAATATCTGGCCAAGCAAGAACTCGTGTAACTCAATAGGAGATTTGCTTTGAAAATACAGAAATGAATTGTGCCCAAGTATGCATAGCTTTCATCTTATAAATAATTAATTGGGCATGAAAATAGTGACCTGGATGTAGCAATGTGTGTGTGGAAGGAGCTTAGCAAATTGTGATTTTTCTTTGCTCTCATTTGGTACCTACCTCAGGGTACACAGGAGTAGCAAAGTGGAACTTACTCTAAAGAGCAAGAGAAGAATAAAAGACATCTCCAAAGGAAAGGGACCAGATCAGTCTGAGCACCGGTGGTGGCTAGAGGCTTGTCGGTTACAGAGTCTCTACTTTAATTAATTTTCAGATGCCATAAATAGGAATGGTGTTGTATTCCAGTCAGTGGTATGTCTAGGGTCTTGTTTACTTGAGTGAGAAAGTAAAAAATGATTTGGAGTAATTACCCTCTAATGTTTGCAGTAGAAACGGGTACACCGTATATACACTAGCCTAACAAAGTGGGAAATATTTTGGAACAAGCGCTGGCTCTGATTTGATATCCTAGGATAATCTTGGAGGACTAACATGGAGGTAAACGCATTTGTATCCACCATGTGTGTCTTCTAGTAGTTGAAGAATCCTGAAGAATTGGAGGGGGGGCAGGACTGAGGTACAAGGGGGGCACTGCCTTAATTTTATTTTAATAGATTCTTCCCTTCCTATTTATTGTTGAACTACACAGTAATGTGATTTAGACTTGGTAAGAAAAAGCAAAGTTTAAAACATGCCAATAAACTAAATCTAGAAATTAGTTGTTCTATGGAGGAATAATTTATTGTTACTAGTGCTTGAAGTTTGGGAATACAGTACTCAAGCATAAATCTATTTGAAGAAATTTAGTTTACTTTAATCAATTGTCTTTTCTCCCCTTTTCAGAATTGCAGATTTCTGCTAAAGTTATCAGAGCAGGAAGATTAAAGACAAAGAAATCCAGCAAGGTGTGTATTGATATGGAAAAACAATTGTATATTCTTTTAGTTGCAGCCACTTATTTAACATATAAATATATGTATAAACCTGTATTGTGTTTATGAAGCAGTGAACAATTACGAGACAGCTGGTGATTCAGCTGTCTTTAAAAATGACCAGTTATCAGTGGGCTTACTTTGACTGCATTGCAATCTGAATCAGGTGTGAGAACTCAAGAAAATTATCAAGTAATTTTGCAGCATAATGTAGTTGCTATAAAATGGTAGTGTGTTCTGTCATACGCAACAAAACATTTGCCTGTTTGTTCGTGAAATGATTCTGAACATTAAAGTACTTTTCTTATCATCACAGGCAAATAACTTCAGTGATGCAGCAGACTGGCCAACACCGAGTGAAATCGCAAATTCTGAAGTAAGTATGCTAGAAGTGAATTTATAACTTTTCTATAGCTGATATCACCTCTTTCTGAATGTACAAAGGAAGAACCCTTTTGCACTTTACTCTTCTTCCCATCTTGCCTCCTTGTTTGATTCCCTTCTCCCTCTGTGCCGCCGTCATGCTATATCCCCAGCTAGTAACAGTGCCATAGGTTTTCCCAGCTTTTTAGGTCTGAGGTGATACAGATAAGATCTGAAACTGAGTTGTATAAGGAATCAGATGAGCTGATAAGTGTAAGAACATAACTGCTTGTAAGGTTACTTTACATGGAAATTTATTTCTTTATTCTTGAATGGCAAAGACAATATAAAATATTTTGTAAATTTTTTTCCTGAACTATAAATGTCATTTCATTTTGTCGCCTTTGTAGAACACAGTACAGTGGTGCCCCACTTGACGATTACCTCGTTAGAGGAGGAAATTGCTTAACGATGTGTCTTTTGCAATCGCAAAATGATGTTTAAATAGGGAAAATTCACTTTACGATGATTGGTTCCCTGCTTCAGGAACCGATTTTTCGCTTTACGATGATCAGAAAACAGCTGATTGTCAGGTTTCAAAATGGCCGCCCGCTGTTTAAAATGGCTCCCCGCTGTGTTTAGGAAGGCTTTTTCGCAAGATAGGCACCAGAAAATGGCCGCCCTATGGAGGATCTTCGCTGGACACTGAGGTATTTCGCCCATTGGAACGCGTTGAACCGGTTTTCAATGCATTTCAATGGTCTTTTTCATTTCGCTTGATGAGGATTTCGTTCTACAGCGATTTTGCTGGAACGGATTATCCTCATCAAGCGAGGCACCACTATATACACAAATGGGGTTGGAATTATTATTATAGAGAACATTTCAATTACAGTGGTACCTCAGTTTATGAACTTAATCCGTATTGGAATGATGTTTGTAAGTTGAAATGTTCATAAGTTGAAGCACCATTTCCCATTGAAATACATGGGAATGGGATTAATTCATTCCAGCCTTTAAAAAAAATACCAAAAATAAAAATAAACAAAGCAAGTCCCATGCTGGGACTTCAAAAAAATCATGATCCACAATCAAAACAAAACTCCCCATCCAAACCCACTCTCCAAAACCTACCCAGAACAGTTTTTTAAAAAGGAAAAGGCAGCACCTTACCAGTCCGAAGCGTCCTCAGCCTCCCGGGCTTCCACTGCTGCTGTGACCGTTGGCGGCGGAAGGCTTGAGCCTGGCTGGGGTACTTCAGCCGCTCACCTCCCAGCTCGCCTTCCACTTGCTCCGCGCCACCCTCCGTGGGCCGATGGCGGGAAATTCAAATGGCGGAGGGGAGTGAGGAGCAAGCAGGAGGTGAGCTGGGTGGCGAACAGCCGAAGAAACCCAGCCAGCTCAAGCCTCTTGGTGGTGGGCGATCGTTGCCTCCGCCGCAGCCAGGGGCGAGTGGCTGAAGAAACCTGACCAGCTCAAGCCTCCTGGCGCGGGGGTACTGCTGCCCCTGCCAGAGCACCCAGGAGGCTCAAGCCTCCTGGCTCTGGGCTACCCCCACCACATCCCTTTCCCTGTTGGGGCAAAATAGATACAAAGAAGCAGCCTCTTCGCCACCAGCAGTTAGCAAATTCAAATTTCCCGCTCTTTCCCCCTGCCTTTTTGTGTTCGTAAGTGGAAGCTCAGTTTGCAAGTCAAAGCAAAATTTTGTGAACAGAGCCGGTTCGTAAGTCAAAATGTTCGTAGGTAGGGACATTTGTAAGTCGAGGTTCCACTGTACTCTGCAACTGTAATTGAATTGTGCAGGGCAGACTTGTTTACTAACAGGAACCCTGGTTCTTTGTGTAGATGACTGGGGGCTCAGCAGAGCCACTAGAGTTTTAAAAAAAAAATATTCCAGAGCAATCAGACTTGGCTCCCTGCTTCAGAATATAATGTTCCTGATGCACTAGCCTCTGCCAGCAGGACTCCTAGTACCTGAGATTGGAGTCCTGAATGAGGAAAGGAATTATTGAGTTGAAAGGGCCATTCTCTTCTCCCTAAAGTGCTTATTGGTAGGTGTGGCTGCATTCAGTGCGGCCCATGGCCTCTAAAAGGATAATTATCACTATTGAGAAGCATACAGAAAGTTGATATTGGATGAAATCTTTGCCTACTGTAGTGAACTGCACTAGAGTATGCCAGGTGAGCAATTGGGGATTTGGGGAATCAACTACTCTGTAAGTTCTAGACTGGTAATAGAATCTGGCTTTTTGATAACATTGCTTTTGGTTTCTCTGGCACATCAAAACTCTAATTGTGAATCCTACTGTATGCTACAGTAAAATGTAGTACTTTTAAGAATGTCTCACAAAGAAGAAAATTAAGTTTATTAATTGTAATGTTCTGATACAAATTTGTTAACACTGGGCAAAATAATAGGTTTCTACCCATACCTAAATTCAAAGCAGGGACAATGGGTATTGGCTAGAAATATAACAGTCATACTGGTTGCTTACACTAGAAAAAATACCCACAACTTTTGTTGCTTTCCATTCAAGGCTTGAGAGACTGGGAGATTGAAGTGAAAGTAAGATAGCTTTGTGAACTAATCAATATAACTATAAAACTTGAAAGAAAATAAATAATATTTCTTAAAGTGCATAAGAACAATTTGAAAGAGATGCAGTTGAATGAGCCTTCTGAAGGCATCTGTATAACCGAGTCTTCCAAAATTAGAATTTTGTTCAACAGTAAACTTTGTCTTTGTAATGTTGATAGTCCTGCAGAGAAAGCACCTTCTTTTTTAAAACTTCATTTCAAATGAATTATTGTAAAGGGTTGTTTAGTCATGATTTTTTTTACTTCATGCTGCAAGAAAAGTAAGGGAGAATGAAGTATTGTACTATAATTGAAGTGATTGAGTTTGTTTTAAAATTGAGCATTATCTTGTTCATGATTCTTCAGTCCTTAAAAATCTGGTAGGAGTAGCATCTTGTCAAAGAACTGCCTTATAATGAATGGTGGCATGACTAAAGAGCAAATTCTTTCTTCCCTTTTACCTTTCTGCTTCCCTAAAGACTTCTCAAAAGAGGTTGAGGTCCATCTTAAATTATGATGTTTAAGAAGGGCTGCAATGCACAGAGATAACTGCCTGGAGATACATTGTGTTCTAAAAATTTCATATTTTTAAGATGAACAAAAGTTAAATTCAATATAAACTGCTTGCAGTTACTACATATAACATGTCGGGATTTTATTAAGAATCATTTCAGACATCTCATCTGCAGGAGACACTGTCGAAGTACTTTCTGTTTAGGTCTAAATTTTATACAGTGGTACCTCAACTTATGAACTTAATCCGTTTTGGAACGAGACTCCGTTCCTCCAATGTCCGGGGGGAAAGCCCTTTGAGACCTCTAAAGCCAAAAAGGCAGGGAGAAAGGGTGGGAAATTGGAATTTCCAGCTCTTTCTCCCTGCCTTTATGCAGGGAGCCATTTACGAATGGCTCCGTTTGCAAAAAATGGCATTGACTTGCAAACAGAGCCTCGACCTCATTCATAGGTCAAGGCTCCTTTCGCAAGTCAATGCCAATTTTTGCCAATGGAGCCGTTCGTAAATCAAAACGTTTGCATGTAGGGACGTTCGTAAGTCGAGGGTTGACTGTATTTTGTGTATTCCAAGTGTATACAGTATTTGATTATTGTTGTTGTTGTTATGTGTCCAACTGTTGGCAAACCCTGTGAATGAGTATTCTCCAAAATAGCCTGTACAAGCATAGTTTGTACGTTTGATACATAATCATATTATAGTTGTAAGTTTAAGCGAAAATACTTCGTTTTTTCCTGTCCTTAACATGTGTGTTGGGAGGGAGGATTTAATGCCTCTCTTCTGGCTACCACAATTTTCAAGCATGCACAGTTTTGGAAGTTTGGCTCTTGCATCTTTAGCAACAAAGCATAGAGTTTTAGTGAGCTGTTTTTGAATGAGTGTGCAGAAATATTTAAGGCCTTTGAGGCCTGTGAGGGTACAATGAATACATACAGTGGGAGAGTAACAGCACACCTTAGTCCATGAATGTTTACTGTGTTATCTGTGTTATCTGTACAGTCCTTTAATGCATAGGTTCTGCATGTGGGCCCTGTTTTTTGGGGCATCTGAGTATATGTACAGAATTTTCATTAATGCTGAATTCCTGTTGATGTAAATTTATGCCATGTAGCTAAGATGATGCCATCATCTGGCAATCGTCGTTTAGTCGTGTCCAACTCTTCGTGACCCCATGGACCAGAGCACGCCAGGCCCTCCTATCTTCCACTGCCACCCAGACTTGTGTCAAATTCATGTTGGTTGCTTCGTTGACACTGTCCAACCATCTCATCCTCTGTCATCCTCTTCTCCTCTTGCCTTCACACTTTCCCAACATCAAGGTCTTTTCCAAGGAGTCACCTGGCAATAGAAATACTTAATTAAATGAAATACTTAATTAAATGAAAACAAAGGCTTCCTGTCTCCCTGTTTCTGAGGTTAATGGGGATCCCTTTTGCCTTTGGGAGCCTCAGGAATGGGGGAGCCTTATTGGGAAAGTGCTGCCAGATCACCAGCAGTAGGACTGCCTGCACATTTACAACATTAAAGACTCCCCCCCCCCCAGCCCATTCGTTACAGATTTGTGCTTTTTACTATCTGTAACCCCTGAAGAAACCACAAAATATTAACAGGTTAAAATCTATTTGCCATTTAAAAATATTTTCCCATTGTATTTTGACATGTGTTTCCTTCATGCAGATGTGTTCAGAGGGAAGAACAAACATGCATAATATGAAGCCCAGACTTACTCCTGTGAAGCCACTCCTTCACTTGTGTGGGTGATCTAGAAAGTTATTTCATGAGCTGCAAGTGTGGTAGAAAATACTGTAGAGACTTTGAGCTGTTGCGGGAAAAAAGGCTAATAGTTTAAAGCAGCTAAAAGATCAGCTGTGTTGTTTCTGTTAACTGTTTTCCAGTGTAAAAATGTAAGTAATCAAACTAGAAAAGCTCCAATTAAGAAGGAGAAAGAAGAGAAGAATGAAAGGAAGAGTATTAGTAAAATCAAGGAAAACCTGGAAATAAATCTAAATATTCCTGGAGACAATGTTAGCGAAGATGAGACTCAGATTAACAATCAAAGAAAAAAAGGTTAGTGTGGATTGTTTTATTAAATGTTATTTATTGCTTTAACTACATTAACTGTGTTTAAACAGTGGAGGTCTGGTATTGTTTCCGACACTTTTGAAAGAATGAAATAGACCAGTGGTTCTTAACCTTTTTGAAAGGATCGCACCCTTGAGGAAGTTATTGCCCCCCTTCCCCAGCATAATGGCGGCACCCATCACCCCACCGAAAAACGAAATCGCCGAGGTTAAGAACCACTGAAATAGACTGTAAGCAAAAAAACAAAACAAACAAACAAACAAAAAAACAGACTGAAAATCCAATATCATGCAGACACTCCTATAATGGCAAAGTATTGGCACGAACATATAGGAAGATGTGGTCTTTCAGATACATTGGTGCCTCGCATAGCAATCGCTCTGTTTAGCGATGAAATCGCTTTGCGACACATTTTTTGCAATCGCTTTGCAATGTTCCCTATGGGGGAATTTCCCTTTGCGATGATTGGTTCCAAATAAATAAATAAGATATCATCACCGTGGGGGGGGGGGCGATGATAGCTTCCTCAATGGCTCAAGGGGGCGTTTCTTTCAAAAAGGTTAAGAACCACTGAAATAGACAATAGATTACTGTACTTTTTGTACTGTATGCTGGCAAACCTGGCTTTACTAATGTTTTATAATTTGGCACATTTTAGCAGTAATTTTTGCTTTAAATTTGGATGAGGATAATTTTGGTTTAAATAAATATTTGTGTACTCTATTAAAAAGGCCTAAAATATGCCACAAGTCATAGTTTGGATCCAGCTCATCAATGTTTTGCTCACAGAAGGGTCTTTTTGTGAAAGGGATGGATGGTTTGGATCCAACCCAGCATTTCTAGCCTTAGGATTGAATCTGCTTGTTATTTATTTTATGTAGTATTTACTTTTCAGCGGATACAGTACTGAACGTCAGTAACATCAGGTGGACATCATATGCACGGGGAAAACAATCTCTCCTGTTATTCAGGATGAATATTGTCATTGAAAAATATTTTGTGCCTTAAATGTAGAAAGTATTTCCCTTGCCAAAGAGATGTAAATTTTTTTTAAAAAAAATCTAAAAATATTTGTGTGTATTATGAGGGCTTGTAATTGGACATCATCTTCCCCTCCCTTTTCTTCAGTTTTCTTGTCCCACTTTTCTTGTAGTGTAGAACCTTCTGAGGGCCACATGGACCACCTAAAATGCAAACAAAACAAAGAAATAACCACCCCCACTCCTTCTAGGAATTTTGCAACACAACCTCAGGATGGGATTTATGTTCCTCCCAGGTCTGGCAGAGATACTGATGTCATCCATGTACGCCATTGGGAACTCTTTCAGGCCATACAGGGTTTTATCTACCAGCCTTTGGAGAATGTAATTGACATAATTGTTTTGGGAGACCTCTGTGTACGGTCCAATCCATGCTAACTGAAACTTATTTCCTTTTATGGGTCTCAACATTAATACTTCTTCTTTAGGACCGAATGTTCTTTCTTGGGCTTTTTTGTTGTAACAACTTTTCTGTCTACCTTGGGCCCCCTTTAAGTTTTTCCCAGCTATTTCTAGAGATCTTTGTAAGATGTTTATTAAATTATCCATGTACTCTACAATCGACTCAGGGTCCCTTTCTTTATAATCTTCCCAGTTCTGTTGTAACAGATCTAAAGGCCCTCTTACTTTATGACCAAACAAAAGTTCAAAAGGACTAAAACCTGTGCTTTCTTGGGGAATATCTCAATAAGCCTATAGCAATGGTTGTAATTTATCCCTTTCATTTGGGTTCTCTGCCACATATGCATGTATCATTCTCATTTAAGTTCCATTAAATTTTTCCACTAACCCATTCGTTTGGGGGTGGTAAGGAGATGACATCACATGGGAAATTCCACAGACCTGCCATCATCTCTTCATTAGGTTGGAAGTAAAGGAAGTTCCTAAATCTGTTATTATTTTTGACGCAAAACCCATTCGGCACATATAATTAACACATTGGTCACAGATTCTGTCTCTATGTTTCTTAGGGGGACTGTGTCTGGGTATTTGGTGGCAAAATCCATAATAGATAAAATACGCTTATTTCCTCATCTAGTCCCCTTGGGTAGGGGTCCCACCAGGTCCAGACCTAAATGTTGGAAAGGGATCGAGATAACAGGTAATGGGCATAGTTTAGCTCTAGTTTTGTCATTTCCAGTACCTTGCTTCTGACAAGTATCACAAGTTTGGCATTATTGCTTAATTTGCTGCCCCATCCCTGGCCAATAAAAATTCTGTGCAACCCTTCGCTTAGTGAGAGAGATGCCCATGTGTGCTCCAAATACATCTTTGTGTGCTTTTTTCCAGAATCTCTTTTTGGTATTTGTTGTTGTTATTTAGTCGTCTAGTCATGTCCGACTCTTCGTGACCCCATGAACCAGAGCACGCCAGGCCCTCCTGTCTTCCACTGTCTCCTGGTGTTGGGTCAAATTCATGTTGTTAGCTTCGGTGACACTGTCCAACCATCTCTCCTCTGTCTTCCCCTTCTCCTCTTTCCTTCATACTGTCCTAACATGAGGTTCTTTACCGGGGAGTCTTCTCATGAGATGGCCAAAGTATTGGAGCCTCAGCTTTAGGATCTGTCCTTCCAGTGAGTACTCAGGGTTGATTTTCTTTAGAATTGATAGGTTTGTTCTCCTTGTAGTCCAGGGGATTCTCAAGAGCCTTCTCCAGCGCCACAATTCAAAAGCATCAATTATTTGGCAGTCAGCCTTCTTTATGGTCCAGCTCTCACTTCCATACATCACGACAGGAAAAACCATAGCTTTGACTATTCGGACTTTTGTTGGCAAGGTGATGTCTCTGCTTTTTAAGATGCTGTCGAGGCTTGTCATCGCTTTCCTCCCAAGAAACGGGCGTCTTTTAATTTCGTGGCTGCCATCACCATCTGCAGTGATCATGGAGCCCAAGAAAGTAAAATCTGTCACTGCCTCCATATCTTCCCCTTCTATTTGCCAGGAGGTGATGGGACCAGTGGCCATGATCTTAGTTTTTTTGATGTTGAGTTTCAGACCATTTTTTGCACTCTCCTCTTTCACCCTCATTAAGAGGTTCTTTAATTCCTCCTCACTTTCTGCCATCAGAGTGGTATCATCTGCATATCTGAGGTTGTTGATATTTCTTCCGGCAATCTTAATTCCGGTTTGGGATTCCTCCAGTTTGGCCTTTCCCATGATGTCTTCTGCATATAAGTTAAATAAGCAGGGGGACAATATACAGCCTTGTCGTACTCCTTTCCCAATTTTGAACCAATC